GGCAGTAAAAACAAATTACGAATGAATGCAGTAAAATAATAAAATTCATTATTCACACATGTAAAATCCGTTCACTTTGAAGTTAATTAAAGAATGATACATCTTTTCACAGAAACAAAATTAGGAAGAAGCAAGAAAAATTACTTTAATCGCAATAAATTTTTCTTGTGAAAACAATTGGAATTTTCTAGTTTCTGAAGGAATATCCATGGAATTACTATATCCATGTTGAATTGGGAAGACCGAAACTTTTTTTAAAAAATAACGAAACTATCATATTACTCACCTCGAGAAAAGCGTAACGAAGCGTCGAAACGTGAGACGTGGTGCGATAAGATTCAACGGGATCGATGACCACGCTTGCGTTTTTCGAGCTTTTTTAACACGCCGGATCTGTCGTGAAGACGCGAACGAATAAAAACACTCGTCGTGTTCGAGTAGCTATGCTTGACTGAAGAAACGGCTCCAAAGTCTGTCAACGTGAACTAATCGCGGAATTGATATACGTATGTGTACACGCAGACGTATATATACAACTGTATGGATAGTGTATTCATGTATGTATGACTGGCACGTGTGCGTAGGAACGTGTGCGGTGCGTGAATACGTCCAACGTGTACGAGCGATTGAATCAAACTGAAATCGTAGGCGAGCTCGGTCCGAAGTTTATCGTCGTGACGGAAACTGTCTGGGTATATATGCTTGTTATGCACAGGGTGTTCGGAAAGAACGCGTAATGACGTTTTAGATTTACGCAATTTTGATTAGATTGGAATTTCCGCGAATTTTGATTTAATTTGAAATGGATATATCTGATATATACGCGAACGATTATTCAGTTATTTTTCTCGAATATATCTTGTAAATAATTATTACATCAGAGAAACATTTATTTCTCAAGTTCTTCTCTATTTATCACATGATCTTTTGATAGAAGAGAGAGAGAAAAGAGAAGAATCGGAAATGTTTTTAAAAATTATTTTATGGCATAACGCTTGATTATATTTTTTACACGTTTTTGAAGATTGATTGATGAGACTTAAAGTCACGTATTTACAGACAACCGTGTTTATCTGTACGTGAATCACGCGCGTATACGCACTCGTTGACAGGTGTACGTGTAGGATAGAGAAACCACGCGACGTGTTTTCGCATGAAGAGAGCTCGGCGATTGGTTCTCTCGGATCGGACCAGCGGTCGAGCCTCTTTTGCCTTAATGTAGGAGAGCAAAATATACGTTAAAGACCATTGGCCTAGATCGACATTGAAGGCACCGTGTGCGTGTCACCGAAAAACACTTTCATGCTGCTCACGCCATCAACGATCGGCCAATCATTGTGTTTCAACAAACGAGTGTCCTCCAGATATTACGTCATTTTATTTTACCTAATAGATTAGCGCAGTTTCGTTAAATACTATATTCAACGTCTCGAAAAAAGCTTCTTGAATGGGTGCAAATCGATATAGATATGAGATAATGTATCTTTCTTCCGGATTAGAAAAGATAATAATAAGTATTCATTCCAAAAGAATTTTGAAAAAATATCTAGTTGTAATTACGTTGTTCCTCTTTAAGGTACTTAAATTTTATTTTTATTTATTTTTTCTTTAGCGATATTTGTTATGTATTATAATATCTTTTTAATATTATTATTTCTAGTTTTATTACATAATTAATTGAAATGAAAAATATTATGCGTCTCTTATTAATAATTTGATTAAGCTTCAAGAAAATAAAACTTATTGTTAGTAACGCGTCGTATCAGTGACCTAAATCAGCCTAAAATCGCATTTCGAGAGATAACTTTGTGTGACGTGCATAAAAAAATATCTTTGCGCATTTAAAATTTATCGTCTGATTTATCATAAACAACTCTATATTTTCAAAAAATAATCCTTAAAGTAACTAGTACATTTTCGAATCATAAATAGAATTATTTTATTGTCTCTTCATATTTTGTGTCATCAGTCATCACTTCAGTGTAGTAATATAAAAGAGGCAGGACAATTAATTCTTGTGAGAAATGATGTTCTCAACTCTTGAATTTCAAGAATGTGCACGGGGTATAATGTAAAAAAAAAGAAAGAAAATCTTGATTTTTACGAACATATTGCATAAGATGTCTTTTAATGAGATATTGTTGCATTGCAAGCCCGTTACATAACAGTAACATGAAAGTTTCATTTAGAATGATTGTTAAAGTTTGCATATATGATTGATCAGCGGTATTTCATACTGATGACTCGCACAATGTTATCATTCACTTGCAAAGTCATCAGTTAATTATGCTATTTATCGAAAAAAAATATTTGATTGAAAGAGAAAATGTTGAGATTCTATTTTATTAAAAAGCTAGTTTATTCAAATATTTTAATTATTTTTACTTCTTTTAAGATATACAGGGTGGCCCCGAACGTTCCAGCCAGACTTGGAGATCTTATAGGAAATTTAATTCTGAACAAAAGATTTCCTATAAACATGGGTCGAAAAATGCTTCCTTAAGAAGTTATCGCTCAAAAATTTCTGATTCCTCTCTTCAATGTTTATTATATTTTATCATTTCGCCATCACATATTTGCGTGTATACGTGTGTGTGAGATATCACCGTGAACATTTCTGGTATTCCTATTTCGAAATGTCAATTCTTTCTCTTCATTTAAAATTGTATAGTTTTCCGTCAAACACGAGTTTCTGCAGAGGCATCTTTTATGCGTCTATCGCGTTTTTCCATCTTTCAAGCTCTTTCACCCTGATTGTAAGTCCGTTTATACGTCCTCCGAGAATGCGTTGGCGGTGGCGCGGTATCAGGCTTTCTCGCGATATCCCTTTTCCGCGACGGCAGATGGTCTGTGTTACATCACACGTGGGAGCCGTTCGTGAGGTCACCGACCTAGAGCGTATCGTGATACTAGCCGGCATGCATCCGCGGCTTTTGTGCGCGAGACCGCGAGTGGACCGCAAGAAATATCCCGAAGGCGAAAATGGAGCAACAAAAGCGTGCCCGACCCGCGGTTTCTCTTCAACGACCGCGATCGTTCAACCGCAGAAGGAGAAAGCATTCAGCTTCTTGTGCACTTCTTCCTCTCCATGTAATAATGAAACCTTGATTACCCGAACAAATTCTTTTTCTCGCGTGTTGTTTGAACACCTGTTTTCTGGGAAGCATGTCATCGAGACAAACGCGTGGAAAATTTTCTTTCTTTGTTTGTATTTTTGTCCGAAGGAGTTTTAACGAGATCTGACACATCTTGGATACTTCTATTATAACGCAAAGTAATTTTTAATATAATAACATCTAGTAATTTAAGCAAAATTATTAATATTTGAAATTAAGAAGTGAAATGTGCTGCAGTGTTTGATATTGATAATGAAATTTTATCAGTATAATAAATATGACGTAAGGATTATGCATTGATTACATCGTAAAAAAAAAAACGCTATCCGTTATTGGAATTATAAAGTAAACCGTGAGACGCTGACATAATCAAATCGAGAAGTATTACGCTGTACTATTACAAGATACAAATTAGAATAAAATTACTTTATGTTTTACCTAATTGTATTATCTACAGTTATGCCGACGTCTGATCGTAGTTTGCGCACGTTCTTACGCATCAGATTTCTTAATTAAAGCGTAGTAAAGAGACGTCATAATACACACCCACTGTTTCTCAAACCGCGATTGGTCCATCGTAACTAGTTTCTCAAGGACAAATCTGCCAGGGGCGACAAACAAGATTGTTTTTCACACTCGTGATTGCTTCTTCAATGCGTCACGGCGCCCCAGGAATCTAAAAGATGATAAGAGTAACATGACAGGAATGTGATAAAAAATTGTTGTTAGTGGATTTTGAGTAGCAGCCAGACATGAATAATAATTGCGAAGTTATCATTTTAATTCGCAATACTAATAAACAAATAATTAAGGAGGAAACGAATTTTTACACTTTGTTCGCTTTAAGTAAAAATGTAAAGCGTACATACAAAGTTTTTGTTACAGAGATATATGTGAAAAGCGATTCGAAACAATAGGAGTTATCGTAACAATATTCGTCTACAATAATATAGAAAATAAAATGATAAAAGATATAGAAATATATTAAATAATATTATAAAGATTAGATCATTTCACAAGTTAGGAATTTTAAAAATTGCACAATTAAAATGTCTATCTTTTTACTAGAAATCTTTGAAATAGAAATGAAGTTTTCTTCTATTGAAATTTCTTTAAATAAGTATTACTAGAATCGCAATGTAAACTACATTTGCAAATGCTGATGTGTCGTTTAAATAGAATATTGGTTATTCGTGGAATACCATCCTATAAATTTTGCAATGCAAATAGATAATACGGTTTGCCTCCTTAATTTTATATTAAGATTAATATTACAGAGAGCGCCACAAAACGAGGTGGATTCTGCGTCGATAACGAACATCAAGAATCTTTTGGATGTAGAAATTGACTTTATCTCATTAAAAAAAGATAACGAACAAACAAATAAACAAATGACATTTTCATATATCAATGCGAGAATAATTAGACAATTCTAAATATTTTAACGGTTCAAATCTTTGACATGATATAATAAAAAATTCTTGAAATTAGGATAATTATTTAATACTAAATATTAATTATAAATAAAAAGAATGGATGTTATATTTTTATGTTCTAAATTTTACGTTCATAAATTTTATTTATTTTTATTCAAATATTTTATACCAAGTAATAAGATATAAAAATAGATGTTTATTCTTTTTGGTATTTTTTTTATATTTCAAATAATATATTGAAAATACGTACATATCTCTCTTTGTATTGATATGATTTATTTTTATCGCATATACATTATGCGTCTTAATATAATATTCTTTGTTTCTTTGTTAGTTCGTCATTGCGTATATCTATATGATAAAAATATGATTGAAAAAATGTGTTATTTTGATTGATAAATGTTCAGATAAATAATTGACAATGAGCTTGTATGATAATCTGGCTCTATCGGCTTTATGTGAGAAATTTATAAAAGCGCTGTGCCCATAAGAAATTGATATAGTCTTGTCACAATCGCCATGAAGTTTATTTACATTATCCTGATAGTTATCGCTCGGACTTCAGCCGAGTTAGAAACTTGGTGAGCACACAATAATATTTTATATATAATCGTTACATATTATTGTTGATATTATTGGCATTTTTTTCTATTACATGTTCAAAACCCCAAACGTTTTCTTCAAATCTTAAAAATTATTTTTTCTAAATATATGCAGTATCAGTTAGAATGATTATTGATTGTTTATACCTATTTGTTTGTCAATTTTTTATTTAGTTGTATGAGGTTTTAATTTAACTTTAATTCAGTATTATTCTAGTCGAAGTATAGATCATATAATCAAATATAAAATTTTAATAATTATAGGGATATTACCGAGATAAAAAATCGGATTGTTAATTTGAATAAGCTTGTGGATCGTTTTAATCCTTCTATTGCTCAATTTATCAGCAAATATGGCCTGGATCCGCTAAAACTTTCACAAACTGAGCAAAAATTATGGATGGTACGTAGTACTCCTAAAAAAATACAATATATTTCAAGAACAATTAAATTATAAAATCATGAATTTAATTTTTAATTAAATCACAAAATAATTTAATTAAATATTAATTACGTCAACTATTTGATTAAACAGAAAATATTTATTTATCGTAAAACGTTATAATAAATTCTTCTTCGCTGAATAAAAATTCAATGAATCGTGAACGTGCGAATCCATCAAACGATAGTGAGAAACCAATCAGTTACGTGAGAGAGTTATTATGGTAAATGTGTTCACGTTCGTTCACAAGGCGAGAGGTTGGCTCGAAAATCGGGAGAAAGCTGGGTTTCGGGGTCAAAACTGGGATTCGAGGTCAACGGGCCGCGATGCGAAAGTGCGCGTACGTTTAACCTCGGGAATATAGAAAGCGAAACCGAAAAGTTGGGCCTTGTACGAGAGCGAGAGTGAATCCCGGTATGACACTTTCCAGCGTTGACATTGGGCCGAGGTGTACCATGGTCAAACGCCGAGGTCATCCCTCGTCTCGTTTTCGCTGATTTCATTTTTGACGCTCCGAAGGCTGACGCGCGAACTTGGACGAGAGTGAAACCGAGATTTCACTCGGTTAGATCGCGGTAGAAGGCGAGCACCAGCTCAAGTTCAATGCCAATGTTGTACGGCAAGCGCAGATGCTTAACTCTTCCCGGATTGTGTCGGCCGCGAATCCAATCATTTATCTCTAGATAGTACCGTAAACTTGAAAATTCTATCAACACTTTTGACGTTTACAAAGCGTTGTCATTTATGTATATGTATATATTAGAAGTAAATTAATTAATCAATTTATATTATTGGATGATCACATTTGTGGGATATTTCTGCAAAAATGTTATATTTAAAATTAGATTGATTCTTCATTTTAAGCGTGCGTGAGACAATTTTGAATCGTGTCATTGCGTGAAGATTCAAGAGAGCTGTATTTGTAAAACACGGCCGATAAAATATACATTCTTTTCGGTTTTACATTACAAAGATCTTATTCATGTTTTTACGTAGCGAACGTTCGCATAGATAATGCAGTCGCGGCGATAATAATCAAACACTACAATATATCTTACTCAACTACACGTGCTTTATTTGATTAGAGATCGATAAAAAGTGCTTGGTCTTTGAATTGCCCACGATAACAAATAATCACGATTTTATGAAGCTAGAAATATTAAAGCCATGATTAATTTTTTCGCCAGGAAAATCCGAACTTCTCCGAACCGATGATATACAAAGCCGATCTCGTTTTGCATTCGGGAACATTGAAGGGTTTGTCCAATTTGAAGCGTCATAATAACGCTACTTTAATGTACGCGGACAAGTTATTAAAGATGGACATTGGCTTTGAATTTAAACTTTTAAAGGTAGTCTAATAATCTTTCTGTTCTTGATTTTTAGCTGCTCAAAAGCAATGCAAGACAAGTTTCTAACTGTCAAACTATTTTTCTAAGTGTTGTATTTATTTGCAAATGTTACTACATGTAATTATAATATCTTATCGCGCAAGTAACTTTTTTTTATATTCAAGGGAACGTATGATTACATCTTAAAACTGGTCATCCGAAATATTAGGGGCCGCATTATAGCTTTGGCGGAAACTGTACGCGCTGTAATTAATATCACATTCAACACAACAAATTACACCTTGGCCCTGAATAAATTCGACCTACAAGTTCCTGGGTAATTAATTAATTGCAAAATTAATATTGAGTATAGATTATATATCTTTCTTATAATACATATATGTTATTATCCACGTAATGAAATTTTCCATATATATAGTTACTCTTTTATTATTGTAGTCGCATTAAAGTAACGGTCGAAAATAAGGACGGATCGATGGATTGGATAAACACGATTATCGTCAATATCGTAGCTCCGTTCTTTAAGGATACGATTACGAACGCCGTTCGAGAGGAAGCGTCGAATGCAATTCAAACATACTTCAATGAGATAAATCATAAAATAGCTCCGCGCGAAACGTTGGCTCAAATCTTAAATGTTGAATTGTTGAATCAGAATTTATAACGAATGGACATGTATACGATAAAAATATATATTTATCCCTACAATCTTATGAATCTATTTCCAATCTATATCTATCTATATGGCAATACTTATTATAAACAAATTGATAATTTATAGATTACGAAAATTCTTAGTCTCGTGATATCTAATTAGATATACCCGTAGTTCCTATCGCTACCGGTTGAAATCAATCGATTAAATTATCAAATCGATAAGACGTAGTCAGATGGCAGGGATTGACAATAAAAATAGAGGAGTTTGTCAAGTCATCCAGTAGTTGAATTGTCAGTGTAATCATGGCCGGTCAAATGCAATTGGTTTTTCTTCTCGCAATCATAGGGCTGGTGCACGGCAAGCTTACAGCCGAGCAGAGCTCGTGAGTTTGTATGCTAATAAATCGCGATTGCGTGATTTTAGTTTACTATTTAATTAGATCTTCTAAATTCTAAAGTCATGTCTAATAAAGGACGAGAATTAATTTTCCCATATTTTTAACATCCTTGAATTTTTGCAATTAATTATACAATAAATTCACCCCTTAAATTTCTTAAAACAAATTTTGAAATTTTTATATTGCGATCATAAATTCATCTTAATTAACTATGGCTTTTAATTCGATTTGAACGAATTATGAATGAAGCGTTCAACAAGTACATATTTCTATATACAGTCTCATTTTTGCAAATGATGAAGAAATAAAAGTGATTCTTGATGATAAAATCGATGCTCTGTTACCCTCGATACGTGAGTTTATTTTGGAAAATGGGTTAGATCCTACGCAAGTAGCAGATTTTTCCGAAAATATTTTCCCACATTTGGTGAGTAACTATTCAACTGATAATAAATTCTGTTTTCTCTTGATTATGATATTTTCTAATCTTGATAGAAACTAAACATTTATAAATCAAAATATGAAAGAGATACATCAACAATATATATATATATATATATTAAAATCATATTTTAGCCTGGATCGTTCAAGGGAAAGATCGATCTCAAGAGAGGATGGCTACAAAATATATCAACACTAAAACGCACCGAACATATAATTGGAATTTACAAGAACAAACGTTTAATCTTGGATATGAATTTAGGGTTTGACGTTTTAGACGTAAGGAAATGAGACAGATACAATAATGCTAATCAATATTAAAACATTGCGATAATTTGTAAGAGAAAGAAGTGTATCTTGACTTTTATTTGTATATAATTTTCAGTGTAGTTACGAATATTATCTAAAATATCTTTTTTATACGAGACATGGTGACGTATACGCTCGTTTCTACAATCTGGACGTTAATACCAAATTGACGATCGATATGGCTAATTATTATATACATCTCGATTCCATTAAGTTCTCGGAAGTCAGGTAAATATTGCTTTTTACATTTTCTCTATATCTTCCAAGCATAGACATATGGAAAACGACACGTAGAATCGGGAAAGTTGAGACAATCACGTAAATATCGAGCGCGATGAAATGTTTATCAATTCTCGATGTCATAAATCACATTGTATCGATTCACGGTGATAGCGTATAGTGAGTTGTTTTCGAGCGATATATCTACAATATTGAGCAGGTGCGCAGGGTCGAAAGGGCAAGCAGATAATAATCACAATGCGGTATCTGAAATTACAGATTGATAATCGTCGGTTAATCGAAAAACAATAATTACTCTGTAAAAATTGTTGTCGGATTTATTTATTTTAGCTCTTACAGATCGCATCTTATTGATTTTCGTATCTAATTATTGATGTTCATATATATATTCGTAAATGAAGTATCTTATTTTTATTCGTCGCGTTCAACGATAAAATATTGATGTAAAATTTTAATGTAAATCACAAGTTAATTTTACTTTTTTATTTATGTATTTAATTTATGATTAAGTACAAATTACTATAATCTATATAAGCACGAATTTTGAACTTATCATGCATAGTTTTTTCGATAAAACACCTTTCTTTTTTTTCGCAGAAAATACGATATCAAATTTGAGGGTCATCTTTTGGATCCTGTTTTAAACGTTCTGACTAAAGCAGTTACAATAATTTTCCGACACCGCGTATTGTCAGGCATTGAGGATCGTTCCATGAAGATTTTCGGTGCGAAAATCGATGAGTGGAATGAAAAGATTCCGCGACCAAATTTCGTATCGCCCATAAAAAAATTGATTGATGACTTGAATCTGCAGCTTTATTAATCTTTGTTATTTTATCGAATATACATTATTTTGTGTTCCAAAAATAAAACATGTATTTTTGACATCTGAATTATTGAGTGTCTTTTTAACATAATATTTTTAATATAATATTTTAATATAGAATTTTTAATACAAAGTCCTTTTTAATACTAGTATTTAGTTTGCCATTAATTACATTATGATAACCGATTTATAAGTATTGCATTATTTCAAGTAATCGCAAGTAATCGCAAGTAATTAGCAAATAATTCGCAAAAAGATGTATAATTTGCTTCTAATTATTAATTGATTTGTCAATACGAAATATTCTTGAAAATGTATAAATTATTCACCTGATATAATACATAACATTATTTCTTTTTATCATTTGACAATACTACAACAACTGGACGATAAGCGCCGTTTAATATTTCACAAGATAATGTAATCTTTGATAAACGTCATTTTGATTGTAATCTCGATAATCTAATCTGTCCAAGAAATGTCTTCACGAATAATATAATTATCACAATAATAAAAAAATAAAATTCACAAATACATAAAAATGAGGAGAGAGAGAGACTGCTAATGTCTTCACGAATAATATAATTATCACAATAATAAAAAAATAAAATTCACAAATACATAAAATTGAGGAGAGAGAGAGAGACTGCTAAGAAATATTTCATGACGTATTTCGTATTTACTGGCGAACTAGGGCAGTTTCGACGGGCGAGTGATGAGTAGCGTCGAGCCTATCCAAAGTGTCGATCAATATGCATTACTTACGACATTGTTAAGCCGCAACTTGGCGCGCACAAGTCGTACCGCTTAATCTTATTAAACTTAGCCAAGTTTCCCGGGCACGTTGCATCTTGGCGCCATTGTATCAGTCTCGCGAACAGCGATAGCGTAATCTGCATAGAAATGGCTCCATGAAAATCTACGGAGTCGTCTCCGGGGATATCGCGAGGAGTGTACGCGGAACTCTTGTTTATACATACAATATTGCGGATATCGCGAGCACGGATCGATAACGCCAGGTGCTAATACTAATACACCGATACCTCGTTTTGTTCATCCCGCTGTATCTAATTACTCTTGTTGATTACTGATACCTTTTGATCTCTGAATCACTGAATTGGAAATTTCTAATGGAAGTCAATATATTAATAATACAGAGAGAGAAGAGAAAGAAAGAGAGAGAAGCGCCCGAATAATTTCGATTAAAATATTTAAAAAGAAAATGTATATATATAATTAATATTAATTTTTTTACATAACGCGCGTTATTTATTTATTGTTGCATTTTATTAATGAAGAGAAATTGATTTAATACTAATTGTTTGCGAAGCTAATAGCACACACATATTTCTTTACTCACCCTAGTGAGTATTATACGTTAATACGCTTATGCAACGATGGTTGCCTGTTACCAGGTGTATCTGGATATATACACATACAGGAGTCTCTATTTATTCATTTAAATTTAACTGATATTCATAGAGTATACAGTCGGTGTATTATATATCTGTGTTGCTGAAACAACATTGAAAATGTAAATTTGTATAACATTACATGAAATAAAAAACATTTTTGTATGAAATCATCTTCTTATTCAAATTACTAATTTTTATATACAATATATGTGTGATATTATATATTCTTATATAAAAACAATTATGTCTCTAATTCTTATTATAAAAATTTCTGTATGTTATGTGTGCGTATCGCGCGAACTTGTCTTTTATAAAACTTGAATGAATGCGACATATATATGAATTAAGATTTATCGTTCTTGCGGATGCATTGCTTCTAGCTTGCAAAATCGAGGCCGCAATATCTCAGTTGTCGAGAGGACGTATCGCACGGTACGTGACAGACGCATGCTTGCATTATCCGCGATGATGCCGAGGCATACCTATCTGGCTTATATATGCTTCACATACTGGATCAGATACTCTATATAGAGCGCACCGAGAGCAAACCGCCGCTATTGTCCATCTTCGCGTATCAGTTATCCAACATCGCCGTCTACTATTGATCGTGATACCTGCATGCCGAAGGATTATGAACTGCATTGTCGCTTGCTACCGCGTCGCAGATATCGCTGATGCTGACTCGCCGTATTTGAACGACGAATTTACTGAAAGTTGTCAGAAATCTGACATTTCGTACACTGAGAAAAAAAAGTTGTTAACTTGACTAAATGCGTTCAACTAATTATCATTTTCTTAATTGAAATATTTAAGTACTTAAGTCAAATACGTCATGTTAGATTTAATATGTCGTATTTAATTTAAATACTTAAATATTTCAATTAAAGAAATAATAATTAGTTGAACGCATTTAGTCAAGTTAACAACTTTTTTTTCTCAGTGTACGATAGAGAGTTTTGATTGAATTTGGCATTGCGATCATTAATTTTACAAGGATTGTTGAATTAGCAGCATCCATTATTGATACAAAATTATAAGTTTTAACATTTGACAGTTATGTTTTTCAAATGATGAATCTCTCTTTTCGCAATGAGATTTAAAATTTTTGTATCTTTAAGATTTCGAAACTCTTATTAAATTGAGGAAAATACATAATTTAAACGACTAATTTTCGATTGTCGAGATATAACAATTATTCACATATGCTCTCTCTCTCTCTCTCTCTCTCTCTCTCAATTTTAAGTGTCAAAGTTTCGTAATAGTAACAATCTTAAGCAAAGATGTGTAACTTTGTCTCGAAATCATGCTGGTGCACAGTCTGGCTCAGCTGTTGAGCTCACATCCAGCGGTATTATTAATCCGAAATCTTCCGCGGAGACAAGGGCAGATGTAACTAGCGGGGATTTTCCCTTTTCCTTCGGTCTCTTTGTATTTGCCGACTAGGCAGAAACTGATATGAGACACACCGACAGATTACTTCAAGTTGGGCGCTGATTAGTACGTGGCGCGACGATGAATTGTATATATGGAGAAATGCGGGAAATGCGACATAACGGAGATAAAGCTCAGGCGAGAAATCGCGAGATTATACGGCGAAGATAGCGCGCAGTCAAATTGTGCACGAAGGACACGTTTTATGAAAACGCTGATGCCGCGAAAGAGAGAGAGAGATGTCGCATTCGAAGAAAATTATTTTCCATCGAATCGCGCGGATGTATCAATAAAATCAGTTCCATGGACGTCAAGATATCGTGCAAAAACATCTGGTTCGGATTGTAATAACAAGTTTGTATACGTCATATTTTTTTTATGTCTCTCAGAATATCGTCAATTTTTCCTCCAGACTGTTTTTTCCCCCGTGGATACATTATATATATTTGCTCTCCCGTGATCTTTCACTGGCAAGATAAATTTCTGATAACGCTATTGCTCTCTCAGCGTGATATAAATCTTCGTTTTACGATTGCTCCCGCAGTTCGCGTAATCCTTTACATCGGTAGATCCTTGGATGCTTCGCGATCGAAGTTACTATTAATAGAAGTGCGAATCAGGAAGCAAGATCGTATGGAACAAGGTTACTGGAGGAACGATAAGAAGTGCCGTCGTCTCGACTTCGCACCTATTAATGAACAAAATTAACTTGTATTTGTACAGATGATACGCGCTGTGGAGCATACAT